CTCTCTCTCTCTCTCTCCCTCTGTGTGGAAGGCGCCAGGTGTAGTTGTCTTCGCAAACGGTGGTCCATGGGGTACCAGGTCCCACCCCGGGTGTATTAAGTGGCCTTACCCCAGCAACCGTGACTCTGCGGGGGCGGACTCTTGGTGCATGCCTAGGTACTCGTGGGAACAAAATGGAGGACAAACACAAAGCAAAACTACATGGAGATCAAGGAGAAAGGAGCGGGCAGCATGCCTAACAAGCAGCACTTGATGCAAGTGCGGAGATGAAGAGGACGCTGGCATGGGACCGGCTTGACCAGCTGATCACCGCGCTGTATAATTTTACCTATCCTAAGCCAAACGTCCTTAAGGAGATCAAGACGAATTTAGCGGCTATCGCGACCGCTTAGGCAAAATAGCCCTCAGCATCTCTTGACACCAGTCCTAGTGCGGACGTCTGCAACGCCATCGCACACTCAGACTCTTTTTGAGACGACGGCGAAGGACACAGAGGTGGAAGAATACGAAACGTTAATGCCTAATCTCTGGGACACCGTCACGGGAAGGTGGCGGAAGCGCACCTCTCCTGAGGTGGACGCTAAATCTTCGAAGAAGCGGAAAGAGCAAATAGCACCATCGCCGCCCAAATCGAGAACCCAACTTCCCAAGCAGTCGGAGTGGCAGAAAGTCAAAGAGAAGAAGAACAAGAGGAAGAAGCAGCCTACAGAACAGCCCCCGCGGCAGAGGAAACGTGCGGCAAGGCCTGACACGCTGCTCATCCGCCCAAAGGACAAAGGGTCATACTCTGATATCCTCAAGCAGCACACGATAGCCCGTGCGTTCCAACAGTGCGTGAAAAAGATCCGGAAGACAGCTACGGGAGACATGTTGATCATCCTCTCGAAGGAACCCAGCGACAAACCTCCAGGCCTGCAGAACGTCATAACTGAACTCTTTGGAGATGATGCGCAGGTCCTCAGTAAGTCACCGGAGGAATATGTCGAAATCAAGGACCTCGAGGAGACAGCAACGAAGAAAGAAATCTTCGAAGCTTTGCAGAAGGCCGCTGGAGAACGTTGCGGAATTTCGCTAAATGCGGTCAAGTCACTGCGGAAGGCATACGGAGGTACCCAGACGGCGTGGGTCGCGACGACGAAGAAAGTTGTCGGAGAACACGGAAAGATTAAGATCGGGTAGGTAAAGTGCCGGGTCAGAAGTGTGGAAGGACCCCTGAAGTGCTTCAAGTGCTGGGACTTCGGGCTTCTCGCCAATAAGTGCAAATGCTCGGTTGACTACTCCAAAAACTGTATCAAATGCGGTGCGGATGGTCATCTGGTCGCAAAATGCTAGGAAGACGCCAAATACGTCCTCTGCGTCGCAAAGGGTCGCATGGACAACAGTGCTCATATTGCTGGCAGCGGTAGATGCCCAGCATACAAGCAGGCACTCCAGGCGTTGACCAAAAATCGACGATCAGAATACTTTAGCTTAACCTTGACCACTGTGAGGCTGCATACGACCTGCTTACAGAGTCGGTGCGGGAGCTGAAGCCCGATCTCGTAATTATTTCGGAGCCGTACAAATATCTGCATGATCAGTCATGGGAGACGGACACCACCGCCAAGGCCGTTATTTGGTCCTGCGGTAAATACCCCCTCCAGGGTGGCGTCAGTACTGCGTAGAGCGGATTTGTGAGAGCTCAGCTGGGTGGAATTCACTTCTACAGTTGCTATGCTCCGCCTAGCCTATGCATGGACGAGTTAACAGACTTCCTGGATCGATTGACCGAGGACGCGAAGCAGTACTTCCCCATAGCAATCGCAGGGGACTTCAACACCTGGGCAGTCGACTGGGGCAGCAAGGAGACAAACACGAGAGGACCAACGCTACTGGAGGCCATGTCTTTCTTGGACGTGGTACTGCTGAACAGTGGCGAAAACCAACTTTCGAGAAGGAAGGTTTCGTTGACCTCACCTTCGTAAGCAGCAGGCTTGCTAGGGGAAGCGGCAACTGGGAGGTGATGGATATCTACATCGCTAGTGACCACTACGCGATTTTCTTGGAAGTATCCGCCATTCGGAAAACTGAATCAGCAGCCAACAAGACCAATGTGGTTGGTTGGAAGTCGAACGCCTTTGATTCCAGCTTACTCCGTGAAATATTCGACGATCGCCCGATCCGAGGAAGCAACGCCACGGAGAAAGTGTGGGAAGTTATGCGTAAAGTCACAGAAGCCTGCGATGCAACTATGCCCTGGAAGCGTAGTACAAGCAACCATCCACCCGTGTACTGGTGGAACAACACCATCGCCACCCTACGAAAGGTTTGCATTCGAGCGAGGAGTCAAGCACAGCGAGGCCGGAAGAAACCAAACTCCAAAGAACTGGAGATCAAGTATAAGGAGGCACGCCGGACACTCAGTAAGGCGATCAAGGAAAGTAAGAGACAGGCGTGGAATGAGCTTCTTTACGAAGTCGAAGTGGACCCTTGGGGGCGCCCATACGGTGTGGTCATGAAGAGGTTGAGAAGCCAGCCGATGCTGTCGCCTACGTGCCCTAAGCTTTTGGAGAAAATCGTAACGGTGCTGTTCCCACAACAACCGGAGCTCGACTTCTTCACTGAGAAGTGCGATGCAGAGGCGATCCCACCAGGGACACTTGAGCAGCTGCTGGATGCTTGTGGCAGATTCAGGAATGCCAAGGCACCAGGAATGGATGGAATCCCGAATGCCGCCCTGAAAGTAGTAATCAACGCAGCGCCAGAAGCCTTCCTTGAGTGTCTATAATACGTGTTTTCAGGAGGGGATATTTCCAACCAAGTGGAGGCAACAGAGACTCCTTCCGAAAGGCAAGAAACCACTGGACGAACCCTCGTCTTATCGTCCACTCTGCACGCTGGCTACAGCCGGAAAAATTCTGGAGCGCATACTCCACCAGAGGATCGAGGAAGTGGTCGAACCACAATTCGCTGACAACCAATTCGGTTTTCGTAGAGGTCGTTCCACGCTCGATGCCATCAACCTAGTCATCTCCATTGCACGGGACGCAATCTCTGGCGCGAGGTGGAAATGGGGCGCGAAGCAGTACTCTCTGGGAGTAACGTTGGACATCAAAAATGCCTTCAACTCCGCCAGATGGGACAACATCATGGGGGCCCTCTCAAAGCTGAATGTACCAGGATATCTCCGGAGGATTGTGCGAAGCTATTTCACAAACAGAATCCTGAAATATGATACAGACCCCGGTCCAAAAGAGTACAGAATCACTGGTGGTTTTCACCAAGGCTCAGTGCTTGGCCCTCTCTTGTGGAACGTTATGTACGACGATTTTCTGAAGTTAGCGTTACCAAAGGAGGCTACACTCGTCGCATTTGCGGATGATGTAGCTTTTGTAATCGTTGCAAAACGCCTAGAGGAGATCAATTATATTTTTGATATTGCATATGACAGAATTTGTCAATGGATCGACTCCGTGGGACTGATGTTGGCAGAACATAAAACAGAGGCTGTGTTTATCATGGGCCGACAGAAAATCGAAACCATCACGCTGCATGTCGGGAATCACGACATCACCTCCCAACCATCGCTATGGTACCTGGGAGTGATGATAGATGCTCGACTCAGGTTCAAGCAGCAGGCGGAGTACGTCGGCGCGAAGGCGTCTGCAGTTCGGACCATCCTTTCACGGCTCATGCCAAACGTCGGAGGGCCAAAGCAGAAAAGAAGACCGTTGCTGTCATCAGTTGTCACGTCGGTCCTCACATATGGCATCGCCATCTGGGCTGACGCACTTCTAATCTAGCACGCACGACGAAAAGTGGTATCGAATTACTATCTGAGCGCCCTCAGAGTGGCTAGCGCATTCCGCACGCTGTCAGACCATTCCGTATGTATCATCGCCGCGATGCTGCCTATAGGAGTGCTTGCCGAGGAATGAACACGCCTCTACCGGCGAAAGAGGTCAACAGTGTTGAGCGCAGCTGAGCTTAGGATGGACGAGAGGGCCAACAGTCTGCATCGATGGCAGTTGCTGTGGGATGCCTCGACCAATGGAAGTTGGATTCATCGCCTGATCCCACGACTAGATCCATGGGTGAACAGACCGCATGGAGAAGTGAATTACTACCTCACGCAGATGCTCTCAGGACACGGGTGCTTCCGGCAATATCTTCATTGGAGAGTGAATTTCTGTGGTTCCCGGTAGCTTAGTCGGTAAGAGTGCCCGGCACGTATCTGGGAGACCCGGGTTCGATTCCCGGCTGGGTGAAGCGGAAATTTTTTCTCTCTAAATTCTAATTCTCTTAGAATTTTTCATAGGTTTAAATATGAGGAATCGCCGGAGTGCCCAGCCTGCCCCGGAGTCTCGGAAGATGCAGAGCATGTGTTCTTCACATGCCCGCACTTCAATGTGCACTGCAGCACTCTCGAGACTGCACTCGGAGGAAGGATTCAGCCTGAGAACTTGGTGGAAGCCATGTTTTCATCAGAGACAGCCTGGGAGGTAACAAGCGCCTTCGCGGCGGAAGTCCTGAAGGACCTACGCAAGGCGGAGCGTAAAAGAAACAAAGACAAGAGGAAGAAGAAGTAATGAGAGGAAAGAAGCGTTGACTTCGACCTTTCGAAGGAATAGCTACGGCTAAATCCTCCTCCTGTGCTGTAATGCCTAGCGGCGATTCCACAGGGAAGTAGGAGGCAGGTAATAGGGATATGTTTTTAGTTCGTATTGGTTGCACATTCGCCGAGCTAAGACAAGCCAGGTCTCACCAACCTAGGTAGCTCGTGGTCGCCACTGTCCAGACCAGACCGAGTCGGACACTACCCTCCGGGAATTCCCAATCCGGAGTGTGTGCGTAAATGTATTTTTCCCCCTCCCGAAAAAAAAAAATCTCACACTCTCTCTCGTCTCTCTCTCTGTCTTGATGACAGTCATTATCACTGTTCACCCGATACGTTCGGTATTGGAATAAACACATTCAATTCTAACTTCGTCGAAATTAGATTAAAATAAACGAGTATTATTTTGTATTTGTCGCGAGTGCTATTGTTCCAATAATACAGAACCCAACCCGCTCGGGACTCTAACACCATCAATCCGGCTCGAAGGACCAAAATGTTCGTAGCCGGATTTGATATTGGTGGAATATGTGATGAATGGCCGAGATATTTATGGATTTGCGGGAGTAAGTGAGCATTCATTAAATGACTGCACGCACGTGGTTTCCACGAAACACAATATAATTGTCGTTAGAAAATGTTTACCAGAGCGTCAATAAATGTACAATAAGTTAAACTGAGTTATGAGCTGAACACAATGAAATAATAATAGAGCCGAACTATTATTCATAAAACAATTGAGCAGACAAAAAGCTTATTTGACTGAGCGGTAAAATATATACTTGGCGTACGCTAGCACTCCTAGAACGATAGTGAGCATGAGGTGTGAAGTGCGTAGATGTGTGGGGTCGGTCGGGAACGGCGAGTCGTCCCGTCAGGTGCTGTCACCGAGTCAATGTTACTACTAGCTGAACTGGGCCTAGTGGCCCGGGAATATCGACTGATTTCAAACACACTCCTTGGTGCATTTATTATCATTCAGGCAAGTTTTGGCGAAAGAGGAATGTATCTCGACTTCACGCGTTCCGAGGGTCAGTGCAATTTCATTGGGGTTTCACTGGGACACACTAGGGATAGAATGCACTTCTCTTCCGAAGAGAGAGTACACATTACATGAAAGCAAATCTTACCACTTCTTGCTCGTACGGGGCCCGGTGGTGTTTCCTCCGCCGAACCTCTGGAACCTCGTGGCATTGGTTAATCCGTCTTCGATGTGCTTCTCTCAGTAGCTTGCGTTAGACTCTTTTTTCTAAACTGGCTGGCAATTCACAGCTGAATGGCACGACTGGCGCGCCGTCTAGCTGTCGCTGGAGGGTTTCACGCGTCGACGTATGTGGACCAGCGCGCGCGACGTTCAATTCAAATATACGGAAACGGGTTTTGACTGAATTATGTATTTAGTCGTGATATTGTTAATTAAAATGTTTTTATTATTATGGAGCGTTTATCTGTACAAGCGAGAATGTACTATGGTTACATTTTAATCGAAACCTATAATTTTCAACCGGAGAAAACTCGTAAATAAGGAAAAACAGGCAGTTGTTCGCCTTTTCTTCACGCAAAGTTAACTTTCACCTGAGAGAGTGCACTTCATGTCACTGTCGATCTCCCGGGAGTTATTGGGGGATCACCTTAACCGAAACCGTAACGAAACCGAAAGTAACCCATCGCAATCCATGTAGGCGAGTGGGTTAGTTTCCTCCACATGGCCTTCCAACCGCACTAGTGATTCCAATAACTCCACGAAACGCATGAGCCAGGGAGCGTGAGCATTTCAGCCCAACCTCGGCGATCAGCAACTGTGCACTCAACGGAATCAACGAGATCTCACCGGGAGACTCAGTATTTCAGCCACGAACCACAGTAGATACTCGTCTCACTAAAAATTCGCGTGGATAAAAATTAAACAAATAAAACCAGTAAATACAAATGACCGCAAATTTACTCTAAACGGTAACCGTAACCGTAACCATAACCTTAGTTCCCCCCAAATCCGATAATAACTGAACGTTAACCGGAAATTTAAATAAATAACTAAATTATTTTTAATCAAAATGAAATTTTTTAAATTTTATATGTTGTTTCGTGAATCGACACTGTTAATTATATTTTTCGTGTTATTATTTGAATTGAACTTTGATGTTTCCACGGAGCTGATGTTGTAATGTCCATGAAAGACGTAGTCCAAGAGGTAGGGCTAGAAAGAAGGGTATTGAATCTCCCTACAGTAGGCGTGTTAATTTCGGGAAGACAAATAGCGATTCTCTCTCTCTCTTATTACTAAGGCGTACTCACTAACTTCTCGCTCTTTGAAGAATTATCCGATCAAGATCCGTTGATTTGCTCTACGTCCGTTTAACTTATGTATAGGTGGCGGAATTCTCCGAAATTCCAATATCTGAAAAAGAAAATGTTTTTTTATGAATATATTTTGGAGGTAACGGAGGGTGTATTTCTTTAATGCATATATGCCAGCGTGCGACCAGTTTTAAACCGTCAGAGTCAAAATTTTTTCTTGATAAAGACGCTGTAAAATATCTGAATTCTACTGAATATCAGAGCAGTTCCCGTCCGCGCAGTTCATTGTTCGAATCGACTAATGCGAATTTCCTCTTGTATTCATATTTTCAATATTTACGTTTCAGATTCATTTCTGATTAAGCTTGACTATCTTATCCTTCTTCACAATTTTTCAGATATTCTACCACTTTTGATAGCTGTTGGATTCTTTTATATCATCCTTCTCGGCCTTAGTACCTATATGGCAATTCAACTTCGCTACCGTCGTCTACTTCATGTGACATATCGTCTGTACATCGGATCAGTAATACTCCAATCCATTGGGATCTGCTGCGAGATTTACTGCTACATTCATCAAGGTCTCACCGGCTTTGAAGCACATCAAACATCACTAGCAGGAAGTCTTTACGAAGGTGGAGCAGAAATTATCTTCACGCTCCTGCTTTTTCTTCTCGCTCTTGGTTACACCGTCACCAGAAGTTCATTAACTATAAAAGAAGTCAAATACATCTCTTATTTTGTGGGAATGCTAATCATATTGCAACTTACCTTATTCGTGTATCAGTGGGAAATTTTTGATCCTGGATTGGTACTATATATTTATGAGTCCCCTCCAGGATTCGGCCTCCTGACACTGAAGATTCTCGCCTGGGGAATATTCGTAATTTGTTGTTGGAGAACGAGTAGAAAAACTACGACAAAATTTCATTTCTACGCTTCTTTACTTTCATTGGGCTCAATTTGGTTCCTCTGTCATCCATTAACGGTATAGTTCTACTTACAGCAAATTTTTTGACGCTTTATCGAGGTGCTACTCACTCTCGAAATTATAGTACTGCTCTTTTATGAAATTAATTGGCAATCACAATGAAAACACAAGAAATATTTGAATTCGCTAAGATAACTGATATCGAGGCTATTTTAACTCTCCGAAATTATTTCTCGAATCATCTATGAAATGACGTAGAGTCACCTTAATCACGTGTTATGCCCCAAAATAATGGCAATATATTAAGAAATAATTTATTTACGAAAGTGAAGAAGTAGAAGCATGAATTGCATTCAACTTACTTCACTCATTGCTTGACTAAAATTTTTGAAAAATACAAATAAATGAAAAAGAAAGCCAAGTCAGCAATGTCGAATGAACGAAAATAGTGCACAATCAGATTTCTGTAAGAGAACTTGTTTCAAATCGAATGAGGATTTTTAAAAAATTCTTGATGAAATAAAAAATTAGTAGAAGGAGGATCAACGTCCTTGGCGCGGATCAGAAGATGGAGAATTAGATTGATACTAGACAAAGAGTTGAAAAACTCCGCGCCAAGCACGTTGGTCCTCCTTCTACTAATTTTTTACTTCATCAAGAATTTTTTAAAAATCCTCCTTCGATTGGAAACAATTTCTCTTATAGAAATCTGATTGTGCACTATTTTCGTTTATTCGACATTGCTGACTTGGCTTTCTTTTTCATTTCTTTGTATTTTTCAAAAACTTCTACTTCGCAGTACGAACCACACAAAACTTTTTCTTGACGCTGTTTTTTTTACGAAAACATTTGTTTTTTGTTTTTTTTAGGGAGATTTCATTATTATTTTTTAAATAAACAAGGAATCGTTTCTATATCCTTTAAATTTTTTCATTTTCAATTTAATTCGGCTCATTTATTTTTCACATGATAAATCATCTTTCCAATTAACAATCGAAGTAAAACAAATAGTTCTATTCCATAGTCGTTATTTGCACCGACTTTTAATTATTTATTCAAGATTTTCCGACTGAATTTGCTTCTTCGAGAATTTATTTGTGCACGGAACTCGATTGAAAAATATCTGTGGAATTCATCATTCGTGTACCATATTCAATTTGTAAATTCCCGGGCTTCCCTCCTTGGAGCGTGTGGTTGTATTGCACTGCTACCAACTCCGTAACAAAAAAATGATAGGAGTTGATGTGAAATGCGAGAATGTGCATGTGAACCCGTTGCTATGCGCGTATTTTTTTAAATATTACTTCGAACAAAAAAATAGTTACATCAATGAGAAGCTTGTGGCCAATTTATAAAATGTAACTAAGAGTATTTTTCATGTAGCTCGTCACGTTTGTATTTTATTTAATGGATATGATTCGGAGGTAGTGGAGGGGGTAGTTGCTTCGTGTATAGATACACGGCAGCAAGCGGCCTGATGTTGTGTACAATCGGAGTCAAAACTTTTCTTGGCCGATACGCTGCCGCTTTATCTCGATCAGCGTTCATGTGCAACACTGTTTACCAGTATCATAAAGTGACACGCTTAATTGCTATATGAGCTGGACTCACGAATATGCATAATTATGGGCTAGTTTAAATTAATAAACACCTCTTTTCCCACCAAGTAAAATACCGGATTCCGGTATCTATCCACTGTAGGGGGATTTATTTCCCAATAGCAGAACCCAGGGATTCATCCCTAACAGACGTTAAAATTGTGGGAAATGAATGAAATCAATCAATGTCTGTGCAGAGCAAATGCGAAATTACCGACCTAGAATGCATTGTATAAGTCATTCGAGAGTTTGAAATTAACACGACTTCATTCTCTCTAAAAGTATTGATATTCATGAAATCCATGCAATTATTCGAAATCAGTTGACGTTATGACGCCATGATATGTGACGCTCGAAATAATCGAAATTAATGTCTTTCAAAGTCAATGAAATCGTCTTTATGATCACGTGAACAGTCACTTCATTTCAAAATGATGGTGATACTTCATAATGGGGTGAATAGCCCCTCACGTATTTGATTTATCTGAGTGAGCAAGACCTATGGCCTTCGATTGAACCGATGCGAGGTTATATATGTGTTACTATACAATATCCGAAATACATTTCTGAATCGTCCTTCGGGTACGTCCAGATCCTTTCCTGTAAAGTTCGTCATACTTATAAGCAAAATGCCCTATACATGTTTTGAAAGGAATTTCAGTCGTATAGTGAAGGACGTAAATAGGGGGCTATGCATTCCATTTCGTATTATGCATTTCATTCGTTACAGCTTTTCTAAGTTCAATTGGGATGCAATCTTTTGCGCATATATATGATAATATTCTGCATATGCATCAACTCAAACGTTACCGACGCGTCCTGAGATGGACGTAAGATTATGCCTCAGTGCTGAATTTCGTAGGATCATTTTATTAGGATGTGACTTAATTTTTACAGATTTTTTCTTCGAGCTCAAAATTATATTTCAAATAGAAATATATTCGCGGTCTTTTCTGGTTTTGAAAGGATCGGACAAAAGGTTTCAGAACACGGAACGACAAGTCTACGTAACTCACATAACCTTTTAGAATAGCAGGGTTTACGGTGGCAACTGATAAACAGCACATTCGGCACTGCATTCTATACGAGGTCCAACAAGGAAAAAATGCTTCTGAAGCACGGGAATCAATGTGTAGCCTTCTTGGTACCGACGTTGTATCGTATGAAACGTGTAATTATTGGTACAAACGTTTTAGAAGTGGTGATTTCGATCTGAGTGACCAGCCGCGTCCTGGACAGCCTCGAAAGTTTACAGATGCGGAATTGCAAGCTGTACTGGATGAAGACTCAACGCAAACGCAACAAGAGCTTGCAGGTCAGTTAGGAGTCACCCGAACAGCTATTTCTGAGCGTTTGCGTGAAATGGGAAAAATCCAAAAACTTGAACGGTGGGTCCCACATGTGTTGACCGAACACAACCTAGGTCAACGTATGAACACGTACCTTTCACTGCTTGCCCGGCAACAAAAAAAAGACTGCTTCTGGAGAATTGTGACGCGTGATGAAAAGTATATTTTTTACAAGAATCCCAAACGTAAAACGTCGTGGGTAAATCCCGGACAATCAAGGACATCAACGCCGAAACAGAACATCCGCTGAAAGAAGATTCTCCTGTATACCTGGTGGGACATAAAGGGTGTGCTTTATTACGACCACCTGGAAACAGGTCAGATGGTGACTACGAAATGCTACAGCCGACAACTGAACAAACTGAGCGAAGAACTTGATCGGAAAAGGCCATTTACTGGGCAAGGAAGCAGGCAAGTCATACTGCTGTATGACAATGCTCGACCTCACGTTGCTTGCGCGACGCGGAAGACTCGCTTGAAGTTGGCATGGGAAGTTCTCCCGCACGCGGCATATTCACCAAACTTGACCCCATCTGACTATCACTTGTTCCGCTCCATACAGCACGCCTTAGTGGATAAACAGTTTAAAACGCTGGACGATGTGCGTAAATTCGTCGATGACTTTATCGCCTAGAAGCCTGGAAGTTTCTTCCGGGACGGCATTCGAATGTTACCTGAGAGATGGCGCAAGGTCATAGAAAACGATGGACAATATTTAATTAAAGAATTCTAAGAGAATTAGAATTTAGAGAGAAAAAATTTCCGCTTCACCCAGCCGGGAATCGAACCCGGGTCTCCCAGATATGCGCCGGGCACTCTTACCGACTAAGCTACCGGGAACCACAGAAATTCACTCAAATTCACCTCATATACCGCCTAACCTCCTTTAGGCATTAAAGAATTCTAAGATCAAGATTAAGTTCGTTCTTCTCTATTTTTTTATATTAAATAAATTTACTGAAAAATGTGTAAAAATTAAGTGACACACCTAATAACTCGACGGCCTATAAATGTATGCGTTGTGCCAATCTATATTGCTATAGAACGTTCAGAACAACGTCTATATATGGATAAAATAATATATCCATTGTACGTTTTTAATCGGATCTTCGAATAAGAAAGGCACAAAAGGAACTGAGGCGACCATCTATTTCTTTAACCTATTCATTTTTATTTTTGTAAAGATAAAAATTGTAACGAGATTTTCTCGTTACGGGTTGAAATCCCCTTAAAAAGATACGTGAACTCTAAAATTGAGACATGAGGCGACATCTAGAGGCGGCTGAAGGAAGCCGCGACTAGATGAACTGAGCGACAAACCGATGAAAGACCTAAGGCATAACGGTTATGGGTGAAACCGCGACCCCTGGAGATCTGGAGGACGTTACTAGACTATCGCTATTTTGGAATTCGCCCAGCATGTGCTAGGGGAAAAGGGGTCGACGTACAGGCTGTCCAACTGGGCGATTCCATAGGCTATGTCAGAGTAGCTAGGGACCAACGGCCAGGTGAGAGGACTGATGCCCCCGGGATCCCGTCGGGTTGATTGGTGGGGATAGAAGTGCTATCAGGACGGAGGGGAGGGAGCCACAGAGGCAGTTGGGGTGAAAATCCCCAAACGTAAGGCCTCTGAAGACGAGAGGATGATCCAAGCGTCTCCTCTCGTCAACAGCACCCCGGATCCGGAGGAGACACGCAGGGCGGCCAAACCGCTCCCGATTCCCGCACGTCTGTATTGGAATTGCAGGAGGGAGGGGCATAAGAGCAGAGAGTGTTCTGCGCCGTATCGGCCGCACTGCAAGAAGTGCGGAGTTCCGTGCCCTGGGCCGTACTGCAAGTCCGGTGCTGAAAAGTACAGGACCCAGGGACCTTGGTGTCCGGCGTACGGACAGAACATCCCCAAGGCGGACTTGAGGAAGCTGCAAAAGCAGCTCAAGACGGAGAGGAGGGCTGAANGTGCAGGGGGAACGACCCCTAAATCCTGCCGAGAGGGTTGAAAAACACCCCACCGGGCAAACCCGGGAGAGGAGGGTCAGGCCCTGTAAACTCCGGAGAAAGGAGAGGAGGAACCTGGACCGAGCTGCGGAGCTCGCCCTCCAGGAGGAGGCCGGCAAAG